CGGGGATCGGAGGACGGGTCGAGACCCACGCCCACTGCCGTTTCCTAGCACAGCTCTCCAAAAGACAACCTGAGCCCGCACCGTCTCAGACAGCAGACCCGTGCGCATTGGGTCACCCAGGGCAGCAGTGAGACCAGAGATACCTCGTCTTTCTGTCCCTTTACAAGTTTGAAACCTTTACACACGTCGCTGCAGTATATAGACAGGAGAAACGGACAAACTCGAACTCGGTTATTTACACAACAGCTGCAGATGACGTCATCGGTGCCGTAAACAAACACGCGGGCCCACAGAGTGGCGGGGAAGCCTCGGCCCACAGTGCGGCACCTCCCCGCCTGAGAGCGGCGCTGATCCGGGCTGGGATGGAACAGAGTGGCGCTGCTCTTATTTTACCTGCTTTGGGTTTAGAATCGCCCGAAGCCGGTCCGGCCGAACCGGATCTGGGCGGGACCTTGCTGCTGGCGTTGTTGCTGGTGTTTTTCTCCATGTCTGTGCTCCTGACGCGGGTGTTGGTGTGGGCCAGCTCCGGCCAGTCGAGCATCAAACGGGGCGAAGGGCAGGGGAGAGAGGGAGGCAGTGCGAGAGCGGAGGATCAGGCCAGGGCCCAGGCTCATTGCGTTCAAACACGGATACTCCATCACGGCGACATCTTGACCACAGCGCACACAGAGAGAAACCGAAGAGTCGGGCGTCAGAGAAAGACAGAGGGACAGGGCTCCGAGAGACGCGGGATTAAACAGCGCAGCACGGCGGGGCCTGGACCCCTGAGGCTCCGCAGTTATCTTTCCTTCCCAGGAGAGACGCCGAGCCCCTGAAGGGAGATAGCCGGTCTCCGATAGGAGGAGAACGGGCTAAAACAGAAAGATAGTTTCGCAGAAACACCAACGCGCCGTGATAATGGCGACGAGTCGCCAAGCAGGAACCCCCGGGACCCGGATGAGGCTCGCATTTATAGACTCTCTGGGAAGTGAGGGATTGTGGGAAATGTAGTTAATTTCAACTACGTCCGCAGCAATGTTTTCCTTCACGCTTTGAAATATATAATCGCTTTATTTACATGTAATAACAATACGTCACGATATTTATTAATAATACTCAGAGTGTATTCTGCTGAGACTTCATATAGATTGCGAGTAAAATTCTTGCACTAAATATCTGTCTAGTTTTCCTTTAAATCACAAAGTTTAATATTCTACAAATTAATCATTCTATTTGTAATAATTGGTATTGTAAAACATGTTCAGGACAGTTTATACATCTACAAAATAGCTTCACTGGGATGAAGTAAGATGTTCAGGATAAAGTCATTAGAGAAAGAGTTAGTCTGAGGCTGTCAGGATCAAATCTCAGTGACCTGATCTTTCAGTACCATTCACATTGCTCAAACTGGACTAGACAGAGGATCAGACGGACATATCTTTAATTGTAAATTTTGATTGTCCATAACATAGGCATTGGCAACATAGTCAATTAGTCTTTCAATTTAAATCCTTTTGCTGGATTGTGGTACAACCAACTCGTTAACAGGTTGATCAATTGACAATACATTTAAACTCATACCTGACAGATCTTTCTATCCCAGAGATCTTTACTGGAGTGCATTGAAGGGTCTTACTATTTGAGTATGTAACTGTAGAGGGTTTGCCTTTTGGACAAGAAATACAAGACACTGATTTACACAAAGAGTGGTGGGAGTCTGCACCAGCTGTCCAGCCAAGCTTTCCAAGGATTCTCCAAGAAAAAGCTGGATGAGAACCTCTGACCACTACGTCTCTGTAGAAGTCGGCCAAAGCCAGGACTGCCAGTTCACCCAGGAGAAGTCTTGGACAGTAAAGACCTGGACTGGACTGACCGTGTGCCTGAGACGGGCACCACAGGCTCAGCTTCCTTCTTGCCTCCCGATGAAGCATAGGAAGAGCCCCAGTCTGAAGGGCTCCTGGGCTTGCAGGCCAGAGCTCATCTCTTCCTGTTAGTCACGTGGTCGAGGGGTTATGGTGGTGTGTGTGCAGATGTGTTTTTTTTTTTTTTGGGGGGGCAGGATTGTTAGCTCGCAGCTGCTGAGTCTGACCCTCCTGCTGTAACAGAATTGCTGACAGACTACAGAAATACCCCAGGCCATGGCAACATACAACAACTTCAATATTCAATCTGGAGACTTCTCCCTCAACATGGCGATTGAGCTGTTCTGTCCAAGACCATTAAACTCAGAGATTTGGTCAGAGTCTGTCTGCTGTTCCTCACAGTCTCCCACTAAAATCTCAGCCACTAAATTGCAGTTTCTTAGTTAATAACAAATTTGCTTAATTATTTTACTTGAATGATTGGGAAAATGTTGCAAGTAATATGACTTCTACAACATTTTAAAGTTTGTATCAATTCACTGGGGCATAGAGAGACACTGTAGGACACAGAGAGACAGTGTGGGATACAGACTGTGAGACGCAGACACACTGCGAGCCTGGTCAGTACCTGGATGGGAGACCTCCTGGGAAAAACTAAGGCTGCTGCTGGAAGAGGTGTTAGTGGGGCCAGCAGG